ATTATTGCCTCTAGGGCATATTTCCTTCAGAAAAGCACTAGATCTCCATGTTTATGGTTTGATAATCTAGGTGCTACCTACTTGTCAACAAATCCAGTTTTTCATGCCAGAACTAAACACATGGAGATAGATTTTCACTTTGTTCGAGAAAGAGTTGCAAACAAACTTCTGGATATTCGATTTATTCACTCTCAAGACCAAGTTGCTGATGGCTTTACCAAAGCTTTACCCACAAGAAGTTTTGAAGACTTCAAGCATAATCTCAACTTGATAAAATTATGATTAAGGAAGGGTGTTAAACGTGATACAATCTTCACGTATACCCTGCGTACAAGGAGAGGAGACCCTGGCTAACCGCAACAGGAGTAGTTAGACAAGATATTCATGTAATCTTTATCTTATTTTATCTCTTTTATTTCTTCTCCTCCAAGATGTATCTCTACAACAACTTGTACGCATATCCGGGCTTGCAACCCATCTATACAACACGACGTCGGCTAGGATAGGCAAGTCGTCTACCGCAAGTCGCACACCTTGCACATGCTCTCAAGTTGCATAAAATTGATGGAGTGGCAAGTGGTGGAATCAGAATCATTGCCGCGCAGACATGCCACTCCCTCTGCGGTCACGAACTGAATGCATTTGGCGCGCCAGTCGACTGTCATGGGACTATGAGCTTCAAGCCAGTCCATATCTAGGATTGCATCGTATGTGCCAAGAGCTAAAATCTTTATATCGGTGCGAAATTCACTCCCCTGAGTACTCCACGTGCATTGTGCCACTTGAGCTGTGCAGAGCAACTCGCCTCCATAAGATAACAACAATTCGATCTAAACTGCTCTCTGAAGTAGTAGCAGGATTATAGATCAGTACAAGAATGGGGAATTTCTCTCGCTAGCCCTAGGAAGAAGATAACAAGTGCCGCCGCCGCCGTGATCCACTGGATGCTCGCTGGTGAGGGCGTCTTGCCATTAAGTAGAACTGGACTGGGCCGTCACCCACTCCGGCCCACTGAAGCGTTGGTTAGGCCTGCGGGCTCGGTTCGGTCGTGGCTCGTTGGGCTTGGTTCCTCCTGCCAATGGGGTCGCTGTAGCAGGGGCGCTCACACTTTCCGCCGAACGCCTTCTTCATAGCAGTAGCAGAGCACGGGATTGCGCGGCGCTGCATTAGGGATTACCCCAGGAACGACGAGGAACTAGTTTCGCCTGTGGTGAACCTTGTGTTAGGTCGTGGTGCATCCAAACAGGGGGAGCCGTGATGTCCGCAAACGGCAGAAGGTGGGCAAGGGCGAACGAAATGCAGGCATGGTGGCGCGGGGCTCCAGCGGGTCGCCGGCCACCGGGGACCGGAGTGCGGTGGGGAGCGAGGCGCAGTAAGGGGATGAGCCGTGTGAAACGGGCCGGGCCCGTTGAGATGTTTTTTCTCCCTACATGCTCCTGAGTGTTGTGGCCATATGCATCTCCCAGATGCAAAGGCCGGGGATCATCCTCTTTTTCTAAAAAAAAATGCTCCTGAATGTTGTTTGCTCGCGGCAAAATTCATGGAAACGAAGTGAAAATGAACGGAACTGAATGCCAAATTTCCGCCACAGCTTTCGTATTTCCACTCCATTTTCGTACTTCCCTCAGGAAAAGCGGAAAGTACAGAGGCAATTTGTTACTCTTTGAACAGAGGCAATTTGTATATCATCACTGCCTCAACTCAATGGGTTGTTTCCAGTTTACATGTTGTTTCAGCGTTTATTAGAGCAACTCTAGCAGACCCCGTAAAATGCCGACCCGCATAAGGTTTTTGAAGTTCGCGGAAAAGGGTATATGCGGGCCGGCGCGGGCGCGGTCAGACTCAGACCCTGCAAAACTGACCCGTAAAAAAGGATATTCGGTGAATATGCTCTTTTACGGGTCTGCTCGGGCACCGCCTTGTCGACCCGCAAACCGAAGATACCCAATTGTCGAATTTGACATTGATTTCGACAAATGAGTTCAAATTCAAACAATAGAACACAATTCACACGCAAATAAAAGCTTAGTTTTGTAGGACAAATGCAAAAGGGTTTTTTGCAAAAGTGACGACCACGTCCGGCATCATCTTGGTCGATCTTCACTCCGCGCCACCGAGTCCATCGAGGTCATCACAACCACCGAGTCCACCTCCGGCACTTGTTTCAACTCTGGCAGCGAAATCAATGGCTGGTGCACTGAACGCATCGGCGATATTGGTTCCAAACCCCGTTGAGAAAACATCTCCGGCACTGTAACACGCACTGGCCGACGCAAGCATTCTCCTCTTCAAGATATCTCTTCTTCCCATAGCATGCCATTCTTTGGTGAGGTCGTCCATGTCATTGCGGTTCAATGTCATGATCTTGTTCTCTTCGGCAAGCAACTTGGACATGAATTTGTTTTCAGCGGCACGTGCTCTTCTCTCCTCAATGGCCGCTTTGCACAGCCCCTCTTCCTTGAGAAATTGCCGTTTTTCTTGCTTCTCCCGTGCCTTCTTCTCGGCCAACTCTTTATTTGTCTCCAACGTCTTCGCTAACATCAACTCATTTGATTGCACCATGGCATCAATCTTGTCCCGCAAGCTTGATGCTTCGTGCTCTCTCTTCATCTTGTCCTTAGTCTTATTGTCACCATCGGGCTTGTTCAAGTTTCTTGGGCCATCATCATCCTCATCTTCATCCATGTTTGTAAGTGAACCTCTCTTCGGTGGGAATTCTTTGTCAATGAACTTCCACTTCTCGCACTCTTTGAGAAAGTCCCAACAATGCTCTAGTTTGGAGAATTTGCCTTCCGAAGCTTCCATGTCTTTGTATCTTTGTTGGGCAATTTTGTCCTACACAATTTGAACAAAGTCAAATGATGCAATCATTTCATATGATGCAATATGATGTGCGCAACTTGGGATGTGAAAACGAATTCACATAGTCGGATTCCACGGTTCCACTTGGAGGTGCATTGCCTACTTGTTCCAAGCAAGCTGACCAATGGCTCCAAATAGGCTTGATCACGTCCCAATGCCCTTGGAGTGACCGAAAGGTCTATGGAGTCCTATTGGGATACTTTGCCATCATGCGGAAGTATTGATCTTCGATCCTTTGCCAATACCTGTTGGCGGTTTGAGACGTACCCATGCAAGCATCAAGAGACACTGCACTGCAAGCGTTGATCAAGATTTGATCTTCCAAGATTGTGTAGTTCTTTGATCTCTGGCTTTTTCTTGCTTGCGCTTGCTCATACGCCCCTCATCTATCTCCTCCAATTCTTCTTCACCACCGTGATCATCCATGCCGCCCTCCGTTTCATTGTAATCGAATGCAGCGAACGGGACTTGATCGATGTCAACAGCGTTGGTGTCCAACAAGTTCATGAACTCGACAATGGCATTGTTCGAACCACCGCTATAGTGAGCGACAACAAGGCACAAGTTACCGCAATGGCGAAAAGCAAAGAAAATTGAAGGGACCGAAGAGGCATACCTTCCGGTCATTTCGTCAAACACCTCGCTAGCGGTGGAAGCAGCGCCGTTGAACGGCATCGCCGGGGAACCTCTTGCCGGGGCGAAGGGAGTGGATGAAGGAGCCGTCCTCTTTGTAGGAATCTTCTTCCGCTTCACGCCTGAGACCTTGCCGACCTTCTCCGCCGCCGACCGGGATCGCGCAGCAGCGTTGGCGCCAGGAGCGCGGGCCTTCCCGGTAGGGCCGGACGGATTCCCACCCTGCACGACCACGTTGCCCTGCCGGTTGCGGGCAGGCGCAGTGGTGCCTTGGGCAACGGCGGGGCCAACGTGGCCGGCGACGAGATCCGCCGGAGGGGATTGAGCGTGCGCGACCTCGACGGTGACGGGGGACGCCAGGAAGTCATCCATGGCGGCGAAGAACTGCCGCGGAAGACGCACCGGAGCGGGTGGTGGCGGGAGCAAAGGTGGCGGAGGGGTGGGGAGCGGGAACGGCCACGCGAAAATGTCCCTCCCGCCAAATCTCGCTGCCGATAGGGGCCGAGCTCGGGTCGGCCTCCCGCCCCGTGAATCTAAAGGTTGGGGGAGATCTTTTGCCGCGCCCCGCAAAAATTTTTACGGGTCGGACGCGCTTGCGGTGTCTGGTCAGGCAGGATTTTCCGCGCCGACCCGTATTTTGGTGGTTATTATGCGGGTCGCGGCTATATGCAGGGTCTGCTAGAGATGCTCTTACATGGCTGTAATGAAGAAGATAATTCAGCTGAGACTGAGAAGGTTGTTGCTGCTGCTGTCCACATACTTTGTAATGAAGAACACGACGGGCCAAGAGGGTCGCATTCGCGCATTTGGAAACTCTGACGGACTGAATTCCTCCAGGACCAGGTACGCAGGTGTCACCAGTACGTTACATCACCACTTCATTTGAACCAGCAAGACAAGCAGCTAGGAACAAGCTATCAGTGCTGCTCATCTCTTTTCTTCTCTTCTTCAGGCTACCACGCAACATCTAGTCTGCCTGTGTTTACTGCTGTTCAAAAAAAAAGAAACTGTGTTTACCACCATCAGAGAAAACAAAACAAAGTAGTACAGTCGATGAAGAATGGGGCGTTGCCTTCCTCGTCGCGGGTGACTACTTTAAGGTTAGGAGGGAGAATTAGCAAACTACTTCGTCTCAGTTTTATTACGCAAATAACTCATTGCTTAAAAGATCCGGCAGTTGAGGCTCTCTGCCTTCCCAACTTGTACCTGATAATTCTATCGGATTTAGACAAAGGTGTTTCGGAAAAAGAAATGTCAAAATATGTGCTTAGCTCGAGGACTTTTTAGGCGACACACACCAGCTTCATCATGAAATCCATGGCAAGAGAAACTGGAGCCCCAGCACAAATGTTTTGGCATGACAGAAAACACAAAGCAGCACAAAGGTTCTGCTGCTCTGCTAGCTATTACATGTTTCCACCTATACGTACATACTCAATTAATACAACTATACAACGATTACTTCAATATTTTTATGAGCTAAGCGCATCATCTTGAGCATTACATCACACACCAATATTTTCACTCATGTCCTCCTCAGGGATTTCAGTCAGCTCGGACGACAAATGGTAAGTATCCTCGGTATGGACGAGCCCTTCATCACAGAAGAATGGCCTCAAAGGCATCTGCAAGCCATCAACACGGCCTTCCAACATCTCTATAACCTCGCTCATCGTGGGTCGATCTTGAGGCCTCATCTGAATGCACCATAGTCCAACAGTGCACAGCTTCCTCTCCAGCTCATGTATCTCAGCAGCAGGAGATATCTCTTCCACTTCTGGTTCAGTTAACCGGTCATAAACCCACGACGGGTAGTACACTTGGCTCGAGCTTGCCGCATTTGGATCAGCATTCCTTCTTCCTCCAGCCATCTCCAGCAGCAGCATCCCAAAGCTGTAAACATCAGACTTGCTCGATACGATGCCGAAGCTACGAGATATCATCTCAGGAGCTATGTACCCAATTGTTCCCCGTAGGGCTCTCGATGGAACAAAACTGTTGTCCCTTGGGTAAAGTTTGGCGAGACCAAAATCAGCAACTTTGGGGACAAAATTGTTGTCAAGAAGGATGTTGTGGGGCTTGATGTCAAAGTGGAGAATCTGCATCTCACAGCCCTGATGCAGGTAGTCGATGCCCCTGGCAATGCCCAAAGCAATCTCAGTGAGCTCATCCCAAGAAAAACTCCTCTCAGCTGAGAAGATGTACTTGTCGAGAGAACCTCGAGGCATGTACTCGTAGACAAGCGCTTGTCTCATTTCCTCAGGGCAAAACCCCAGTAAACGCACCACATTAACATGGTGGATCCTGCCAATGGTTGAAACTTCACTGATAAAATCTTCTCCATTACAGTTGGAGTTACCGTCTAGCATCTTGACCGCGACATGAACATTGCCTGGCAACAGCACACCCTTAAACACAGAGCCGTAGCCTCCCTGGCCCAGCTTATCTCTGAAATGGCTTGTGACTGCGGTGATGTCGGTGTAGGCGTACCTCGTCGGACCGACCATTTGCTGCATTCGTAGGAACTTCTCGACCGCATCGATTGTTATTCTTGTTTTCCAATACTTGTAGGCTAGGAAAATCAACATAGCCAGTGGTGCAAATATGAACCTGCATAGCACTGAATAAACAAGTTTATATATGGTTTAGTGGGTACATGATTGCGCAGATGTGATGATGAACAAACTGCAATTGAGAGCACAAACTCTGAATTACCAGCTAGCCACTTCACAATCCAGAAGACGATTATGATGGAACCGGCAACACCTTGTCCTTGATATCCAGCAGTATAGAATACACAATGCCAGAAAAACCCATCAACCAGAAGACTGTATATAATAAGTGGCTTGATGCCCTCACTCGACACGGGGCTGCAATACCAATACAATAAAGGAAAGAAAGAGGGGCTCTCGTCAGTTTCGAGATAAGATAGACAGGTACGAGAAACAAATAGAACCATGGTATACATATCTCAAAATCCTGAACTCACCGTAACATGTCTAGGCATTCCATGACGCTCACCGTAGAATATCTGAAAGGAAACATAACGGCAAATCCAGTCCTCATGGATTTCACAACATCTGTATAACTTGCATTTTCTATCCCGAGACTATCCCAAGGCCGAGGAATCATGGACAAGTACCCACAAGAAGGCTCGAGATACTCCATTGAATTAGATCGATAACCAGTTAACACATAAACATAAGTATCATTGGTGCTAAGGCAAGCAACAGGCATGTACATAGAATTGTCCTTTACTTCCCGAGAGCATTTAAGAAAGCAAGCCTGACTACTTGAACGGGGTTCCAATTCGACTTCCATGCCGTCATGGTATTTAGAGGGAGGCCGATTCCACCGAGGTAGAGGGCAGCTGTTGTATAAATCCATGTTGGCATCGATGACCCAGAAGGAAGAACCACTGTAGTTGATGTCAGACACATAGTATGTCGCATCGCCGATGTGAATCATAGCCTTGGTATCACTGCAAACCAGCTCATAAGATTGATAGCCGCAGCCAGGTGGATCACTTGCCCGACGAAACGGAGACGATATGTTTCCAAGAAGACCGCACGAGAAAGACGGACAATCAGGCTGATGGTGCCGCCCTTCCGCCTGATATGCAGCAAGAACTGCAAGCACATACAAGATAGTTAAGATGTTGAGAGCAGTGCGCATCGCCATGGCAGACACACAGACGCGCAGATGAATGGCTGAATAAGTGAGTGGCTGCCAAAGTAAAAACAAAATAGAACTCCAAAGAATGGACATTACATGCCAACTAGTGGCTCTACATGAACGTGATGTTGCTGCCAAATAAAGTTGGGTGCATACCACCTACTGGCTCATCTAAGTGATGATGATGTTCTTGACCGGTGACCTCTTGGTTAACAGAAGAATCCAATTGTGTTACTGTAGCATCCTGTACTGGTCCAGTCCTGTCCTAGTCATGGTAAAATGGAATTCGGTGCCTTGAGAAAATGACAAATAACAGGGACAAAAAAATGGCATATAAGAAAATAGCATTCAATTGAGATATGAGTTTACCAGTTAGCAAGGCATATTTTTGCAGAGGAAAAATTAAGTCTGATCAAATTCCTCATTTTATCTAGTTCTAGTTGAAAAACTTCGCAAACTCCTCCTATATGAAACTAATTCCCCAGAATATCTTCAAACCACGTGCAGATTATATTTCCCCTGGTTTCCATTGCCTGCAGATTACAATTTATAATGGACATCATTTAAACCGCATCCGACCGAAAAAAAAAACTAAAATAAACTATTAAGTGGGAGTGTTTTCTTTACAGGACTAACTAAAATCATTTCCATAACGTCAGGTCAATTATTTCTGACAATGACTGGACTACAGCCACAATTAAGCTGTTATCACAACCAGTCAACAAGCCTTATCACAATTCAAACCTCTGCAAATGGTGCTTTACCATGTCAAGCTCACGAGTTCATTGCAGTAGAATACTGCAACTATTTCTGACAATGACTGGACTACAATCACAATTAAGCTGTTATCACAACCAGTCAACAAGCCTTATCACAATTCAGTAGAATACTGCAAGTTTCGTCTGGTCAGATGTGTACAATTCTACCAAAGACTAGCAATATAGGACTGAAGAAAAATGAGGATGTGCAGGTAGTGAAATCAAAAGAATAGTCTAAATAACAAGATTCATTTGTTTCCGGAGACCACGGAATTTTCCAAGCCACAGAACAAGGTGGGCGTTTCAGTGGTAGGTGGAATTCCTACTTGGACGCACAACTATCATGCATAGCTCATTGGAGGTTAAAGCAGACAAGTAGGCAAGTTAGCAACTTCCTATACTCCCTGCCTTCCCTTCTTCCATCTTTACTCCAGTATATTCCATGGGCCTGCCTAAATTTCTTGTCACTCTGCTACTGATTTGCCTTCTCACCTATGAATCCTATGTGGATGCAGCACCGGAAGAACAAGATTTCTTAAGGACTTGTTCATCTCACAGGTGCAGCAAACATGGACCCGAGATCCGGTTCCCGTTCCGGCTTTCGAGCCACCAATCATCCTGTGGTGCCCCAGGCATGCAGTTATCGTGCTCCGGGGATGACACAATCCTCGATCACCATGTTCTTGGCTCCTGCAGAGTGACGGAGATCTATTACAGGCACCGCGTCATCAACGTCATCCCGCTTGTGGAACCATCGACACAATGCCCTCTTCAGAAGCTCATCTCAGCAAACGTAGCAACTGATGTGTACAAACAACCTCAATCATTACAAGTTACGACCCTGGTACGTTGTTCAAGAAATTTCACACCAGAGGATCAATATAGTATAGTAGGCCCAGCATCTTGTCTCAATAACAACGCTAGCCAATTCTGGTATATAGCGGACTCTTATGCATACATGTCTGACCTTCCACGGGACTGCACGGCTGTTTCTAAAGGCATCCCCATACCCTTGACTTATGATAAAGATGGCCCGAACTTCAAAGAAAAGGCAAATAATTTCCTCAATTTTGGTGAAACAACATTCACTTGGCACCTCAATAACATTACAGATGTCTGCCAACAGTGTGAACATAAAGATCAGCACTGTGGATTCATCTCACAAAGGCATCAAGCTTTCTGCCAGCACCATGGTATTGTTTTTTTCCTAGTTGAAATCTCATATCATTATGGTGGATATTCTATTTTGGAACCACAATGAATTTCTCTCTCTCCATTTACTAGTTTGCCAATTTTCTATATTCTGTTCCTAAGTGCATTCAATCTTCCCGCGGATTTTTCACCTGTAACAAAACTATTTAACAAAGGAAATTTTCATGCCAATTGGACCAATGGATTACTTGTGCAAGCACATATAGTCTCTAGGTTCGCATCCATGGACGTTTCTATAAATTTTTTGATCAAGTTATGAGGGTTAACTATTTGTAAAAATCACACAAAAAAAGGTAAGAGACAAATCTTAATTGACCATTCTGCTGATATTTTCAGATCTAAAGCCAAGCTTCATTTTAGGCAGGATAAGGTCTAGCTTAGTCAGCTGATTTCATTTAACTCTGTAACTACCAACTATAATGATCTTTATTCTTGCCAAAAAAAAATTGCGAAAGTATTCTTGCTATGTTGTTGACTTCTGGAGTGGTGTAACTTCAGCATATAAGCAATCAACAGGTCTGGATTAAAAAATAAAATATGTGCATTTAACAATGTGAATCCTGTATAAATATACACTCTCATCTATATGTGCATCAGTGTTTGTGGAAAACTATCACATTTTTTGCTGTACAATATATGAGGTATTTCGAGCAGAATTCAATCATCACATACAGAGCTTGTACCATGATGTACTGACTAATAATTTATGCTCCCTCCGTCCGAAAAAGCTTTTGTCTACATATAATCATGGCAAAACTAATAATCTTTTTTCTTCATGCAGGTGTGCCTGTCATCCCGGTTGCAGGTAATGCTGCAACTCTTATCATTATTTTCACTCTAAATGAAATTCTATTGCTTACTGATCTACTCTTTTGTGTTATCACATCACAAAAGAGTCAGGAGCACATAACTTCTTATCTGAACGCCACTTGTTAATTTCTTTTCTTTTTAATGAGCAGCATCATCTGTAGCTGCATTTGTAGTTTTTTCATTGATGGTGGCCACCGCGATGTACCTCTCCTTAAAGTCAAAGTACAATGAAGAGATAAATATGAAGGTTGAAATGTTTCTGAAGGCATATGGCACATCGAAACCCACAAGGTACACTTTCCCTGAAGTTAGGAAGATAGCAAGACGGTTCAAGGATAAGCTCGGCCAGGGCGGATTTGGAAGTGTATACAAAGGTGAGCTACTGAATGGAGTTCCTGTGGCAGTCAAGATGCTAGAGAGCTCTATAGGAGAGGGAGAGGAATTCATCAATGAAGTTGCAACCATTGGACTAATCCACCATGCAAATATTGTCCGCCTCTTGGGCTTTTGCTCCGAAGGAACTAGACGGGCTCTTATTTACGAATTCATGCCCAACGAGTCACTGGAGAAATACATATTCACACATATTTCCAACATTTCTCGACAACTCCTAGCACCAAACAAAATGCTAGATATTGCTTTAGGCATTGCCAGAGGGATAGAATATCTGCATCAAGGTTGCAACCAGCGAATTCTCCACTTTGACATCAAGCCACACAACATCTTGCTGGACTACAACTTCAATCCGAAGATCTCAGACTTTGGCCTTGCAAAGCTGTGTGCAAGGGACCAGAGCATCATTACCTTAACTGCAGCAAGAGGCACTATGGGATACATCGCACCAGAGGTATACTCTCGCAACTTCGGAGGGGTGTCATACAAGTCAGATGTGTACAGTTTTGGCATGCTGGTGTTGGAAATGGTGAGTGGACGGAGGAACTCAGACCCAAGTGTTGAGAATCAGGATGAGGTCTATCTCCCAGAGTGGATCTACGAGAAAGTAATAAGTGGGCATGCATGGGAGCTTACTTTGGAAATGACAGCAGAAGACAAAGAAAAGATGAGGCAGCTGACTATTGTGGCCCTGTGGTGTATCCAGTGGAACCCAAAGAATCGGCCATCAATGACAAAGGTGGTAAACATGTTAACCGGGAGGTTGCAGAATCTACAAATGCCCCCTAAGCCATACATCTCATCTGAAAATCATCCTACAACATGAAGCACGGAGAACATGCTGCCGTCATTTGGTACATATTGCAGACATGCACTTAGTCCATGTGTTGCACAGCAATGCATAGCACTAGGATAAAGTATATTTCCATCTTTCCACTCTATTAGCACCTGATTGTATGAATAATCGTCCATCCCCATGTAATATTTGGACTGTATATGCAAGACCATATTTGAATGACATTGAACTTTATTTGGACTGTATAGCAGTTGAAAAAACAGTAGTTCGTTGCCTACCTTGTGGTGTTCCGCTGATTTATCTCCATTTGAGTGTTTCCTGCAGTGCATTGCTCCTCACAGAACTCCTGAGGAAACATGATTACGTCCTTCGATTGCCACTTCCATTGTGCTGAGGATATCACAGGATCATTCTGCAGTTCTATTAACCATGCCCTGTTCCTTCAAAGCTCAGCAACCTGTAGCACTAGCACGGAATGTGTTCCGTCTTTCCCCTCTACATAGCACCTGCCAGCTGATGTGTGAATAATCAGTCATCTCCGTGTAATAGTACTAGTAGCTATTTGCGGCATATTGGAATTACATGGAGCTTTATTTTTTGCAGATTGACATTTTAACATGTACTCCCTCCGTTCCAAATTTGAACTAAAACCACGACGAGTAATTTGGAACGGAGGGAGTAGCTTTATTCTACGGTTCCAGGCTTCAGTATTTCCTGCTGACATTTCAGTATACATACCCCATTGTGCAGTGCAGTAGCCATTCCTTATCCAAATCACAATACAGAGATCCTGTAACTGATACTCTGCATATTCTAGAAAAAGAGAGTATCCTGAACCTAATCATGCCACTGCACCAGTTACCACCAAAAACAAAGGGAGAGCAAGGGGATTACTCACGATGGCATGGCAGACACCTCCCGCCCCGCCGGAGCAGAGGATTGGGGGCGCTTCGCTGAGACGCGAGGGAAGACGAGGAGCTCGCTTGGCCGCCGGCCAATTCGAGCGGGAGCTGCCCAAGTGCGACGGACGCCGGGGGAATCGCTCGGCGGCAGCCGGCCGCCGGCCGCCACCAGCTTCCCTGTTGCAAGAATTGTGGATACGTCTTTCTGGACTGGATGGGGATGATGGGGATAAGCCAGAGTTGGGCTTATGGGCCGGCCCCACTGCAAACATGAGTGACAAACTTATGTTTCCATTAACCCCTCAAAAAAAACTTATGTTTCCATTAAAAAAACTTATTTTCCTAATTGTTTTTTAAAAAAACTTATGTTTCCATGTGGCCAGAAAATTTTGCCTCAAAAAAATGCGGCTAGAAAAATCATCGTACTAGAGCGCACCATAACTTTGCTAGATTCCATATAAAACTATTTTCGAGAGTGCCTGAACAAAAAAAAATAGCGATTTAAAATAGCCAATGATGGTAGCAGTTTAAGATTCTTAAAACGTCGATTTTAT